TTGGGCTTACTGGTAGCAAGATACCCCCCTCCTGTACAGCATAGTCTCCCTCAAAATCTGTTAAAGACATTGACAAACATTTAATCAGGTCTAAATGCTCTGATGGGTCATGCTGTCGTGTACACAAATGTCTTACCCAGCTGTGTTTCACTTGTCTTTATCAGAGGAGGCGGTCCACTCTTTGGTGAGTATCCTGTGGATAAAAGAAATTGCGTCATATAAATTAAGTTTAGTTGATTTAAAAAAAAAAGCAGCCCAGTTTTACCTTCATCATACTGGATATCAGTGGCCTTCAGCCTATCCACAGGAGTTCCCCACGCTTAAACATAAAAACAGCCTTATTTTAATCTGCTATTACCACAAATGTAAACTTAGAATATAATTAATTTATGAAGAACTTGTGACAGATATGTGTGATCGGTGTACCTTCATAAAGCCATGCAAATAGTAAAATTAACCACAGCATTTTAAACAGTTGCTAACTTGTGGAAACAGGGACACTATTATATGAAACGACTACTAGACAGACGTCCTGGATTTGCTAATTATTTGGCCACCTGGGGCTCTTGATTGACAATTAGTTCTATGAACTTCAATCAATGAGGGCCCGTTTACAACAGCGGTGGGAACCAAAACGCTCATGTTGTAGTTTCATTCCGGACGGTTTTATTGGTAAGACACAGAAAAACACACGTGAACTGTTTTGTTGTTGACAGCTGATATCTGAAGATATTCTTTTGTGGTGAGCGTGTAAAATTAATTTAGTAATTATATGTTTTATTACAAGAGAGAGATTTCCACTAACCAGGAATGTTTTATAGAGATTTATCTGCCGAATGTTCGCCCGTTTTGAAATAACGGGGTATTTTTTTCCCAAAAATCAGTTTTTGATTATGATTGTTCATGCTATCTGTGAAATTTGACCTTGGTCAAATTTAGTTTCTGGCAAATTACCATAGTATCAAAAGTTATTGTTATTGTAAATTAGATACATTTCGGTTTAAAGATGTGTAATAGTTATGTTCTTTCTATATGCTATTATATATATTTTTTGTGTTGTGACAAATACTTAGCTGTATACTATGGTACTGAATGTTTACCATATTCACCATAGTATTTCAAAGCACTTTCATGGTGAACAACATGGTATATTGTCATGGCACTTTTATAGTATATGGATTGTTTGTTAGTATATGGACTCTGGTATATAGGCAGAAATATGGTTATAATAGTTTATATATTATAGCATATAGCAGCGGTGGCGAACTCCGGTCCTGGAGAGCCGCAGCCCTGCAGAGTTCAGCTCCAACCCTAATTAAAACTCACCTGCCTGTAGCTTTCTAGTAACCCTTCAGACCTTGATTAGCTTGTTCGGGTGTGTTTGATTAGGGTTGATATCGGGCTCTCCAGGACCGACGTTCGCCACCCCTGGCATATAGTAAATATGTTATTTATCTGATCATGAACTTATTCTCTCATTCTAACAGAACTCAAAATGACGAGGTGGGCCCGAGCGAACAACGTCCATAAACACAAAGCAGCAGACGCCACACCATGGAAGCAGCTGAAGGCGAGTGGGAATGCAGGAGAAGCAGGAACAAGAGCCGGTGGCCGACACATCCAGCAGGGACCAGGTGTAAAGAAACACAACCCGAAAAAGAAGAAACGAGAGCATGACAGTGACGACGTGAACGGGTTTCTGGAGTATTTAAAGCAGACCGGTCAGACAGGCCGGGACCGGGATCTGAGGGGAGAAGTGGCAACGGCACTGAAGAAAGACGCGCGACGAGAGAACAGACGGATAAAGAGACAAAACACCACAAAGAACAATATGGTGAGGAACTGGATATAACATGATTATCTGGGAAGCGTATAAAAAGGGTAATTGATACTCACAATTATTTTCCGCTCGCAATTCTGAGTTTATATCTCACAATTCTGACATTTTCCCCTCACAATTCATACTTTTCCTCACAATTCAGAGAAAATTGGGAGATATAAACTCAGAATTCCGAGATATAAACTCACAATTTTGAGAAAAAAAGTCTGAATTGTTAGATATAAACTCAGAATTGCGAAGGGGGGAAAAGTCAGAATTGTGAGAATAGTTTCCACCAAGGAATAAAAAAGTAATTACCACCATAATTAAATTCTGAGGAAAAAACTCAGAATTGCGAGATAAACAGTTCTAAGAAATCTCAGAATCACAAGATATAAACTTGCAATTCAAAGAAAAAAAAAAACTTCAGAATTGTGAGATTTAAATTCACAATTCTCAGAGAAAAAAAAAAACTTGATTGTGGGATATAAACACACAATTGAGATATATAAACTCAGATCTAAGAAATAAATTGTGAGAGATAAACTCGCAATTGCAAAGGGGAAAAATTTTAATATTTTGACTTCATGTCACAATTCTGATTTTTTTTTCTGGCAATTCTGTGAAAATATAAACTCCGAATTCTAAGAAATAAACTCGGTTGCGAGTTGAGATGAAGTTGTTGCAATTACATTTTTTACTTTATTATTCAATGGTGGAAATAAGCTTCCATAGATAGTCTACAATGAAATATCTGACACATTTTCTCATATTTTCAATCTAGATCTGCTTCAACTGCCGGAAGCCTGGTCACGGTCTCGCTGACTGCCCACAGGCGGATAACGATGAAGAGATGGGCCGCGGGATCTGTTATCGGTGTGGTTCCACTGAACATGAGATCCAGAGATGTCGTGCTAAAGTGGATCCTGCCATGGGTACGAGTTGAATGAGACTTTTGGACAGAGTGAGAAAAAAAAAATCAAACCTGCTATGACTTAACACATTAATGCAGCTCTTTTCTAGGTAATTACCCATATGCCAAGTGTTTTATCTGCGGTCAGACTGGACATCTGTCAAAGGCCTGTCCTGATAACCCAAAGGGACTGTATGCTGCAGGTCAGTGATTTACCCGTTTAAGCACTAAATATCTGTGAATTTTAACACTCATGTTGTGGTGTTTTGCTCCTGTAGGCGGTTGCTGTCGGGTTTGTGGTTCAGTGGAACACTTTCAGAAAGATTGTCCTGAACACCAGAACTCAAGTGAGTTGATCAGTTAATAATGTGACCATGTCCACTGAAAATCTGGTATCTTCTTCTTTAACTGAAATGGAAACATCTAAGTGAACTTCTTTTTTGCAGCTAATTCCATCACCCTCGGCCGGCTGTCCAATAGAATCAGCGCCGACCACGAGGACGTCCATGTGCCTGTGAAGAAAGCACAACCCAAAAAAGACAAGGTGGTGGTGTTCTGATCCACAGCTGTTTTGAGGGGAAATATAGCAATGGACTATTTAACTGATCGTTGCAATTTAGATTTGCTTTCTGCAGTTATGGACTCACTGGTGATTGACTGTCTTCCTCTGATGTTTTTAGACACAAACAAAAGTGACCCTTCCTGTTTTGAGAGCATTTACTTGCAATTAAAGGTCCTCATGATGAAATTGCCTGAGACTTGTGAACATCACATTTGTGCCTGACTTAGAAATTTAAGTTTTAATCATGATGTTTGTTTTCATTTATATGCTCAAGAAAGAGAAGAGAATCTGAATATGAAAAGCAGCATTTATTTATAAGACACTTTGTACAAATATACTCTATAAAAGAGTGTTGTGAAGTGTGTGCCATATTACTTCATGTAACTTTTGGCCCTCTAGCGGTTACGAATTAAACTGCACGCGTCTTGCAGAAGAACATAATTTGGGTTTGCGCAGATGAATGCGGTTCGCGGAACAGGTTTAGAAATGGATACAAGACATCTTATCAGAGCAGAAGGAATTTTTTTTTGTTATTGCTGTTTTGAGCAATTCCTTGTCAGTTTTTCTCATTCGTTTGTGACAACTTTAAGCTTATTTTCTTTATGTACGGATATGACGTGACACGCACGGGCGAATGACGCATGCGTTCAAGTTGCCGCTAAATCCGTTCCGACTGCTAAATAATTAGTAGGATTATAAAGCATTGATTCTGCAGTATAATACAGAACTAAGGCTACACAATTATGATCCATATCACAATTGTTAATTATTTATATTAATATTACAATACCAATTAATTTTAATTTGACATCAAAATACAACTGCATGTCATTTTCTTCATGTAGCTACATATCCAAAACCATCTGATGACTTTATTCTTGAATTATTTGATTGTTTATACATAAATCTTTTTTTTTATTGACTTCTCACTTAAGGTCTGAACTCACTGTAAATGCAAAACTTGGCTGGAGCCGGTTACCCAACAAACACAGAACGTTGCCTCAACGTAGCCAACCTTTTAGCAACGTTGTAACAACATGGCTAAAAGGTTGTTGGTTCTACGTTGTGTCGTTGAGGCTGTTACTGCGTTGTTTATAAGCCCTAAATACAATGCTGTAATTGACAACTTTCACAATTATTTAATCATCACAGATTTTATCATGGCCTCGGACACTTTGAAGAGTGTGGACTGTGAAAAGGATAATGCATGTTTAGTCATATGATGCATATTGTACCATAGATATTTATGGTTTTATCGGTAGCCTTCAGACCTGTTGACACCAAAGACAAAAATGATAAACTGTCAAATTTAAATAATTGTTCTAATAATACTATGAGAATAGCGAAGTCCACACTACAACTATAATTCTTAATATCTAATACAGATACCATTATAGTTGGCTTTACAGTTATCGTTCTTGGTGTAAATGGGCCTTCAGAAATACATGCAATGCTATAACTGACAATTTTTATGATCACAATCATGGCAGTTGTTATCATAACCTTATTTTTAAACAACTGTACTAGAATTGTCCTAATGTTGCACATCAGAACTGTGTGGTCAGCAAATCTTGCTCCAGAAATGAAATGCAGGACATTGCCGTCTCTTCCATAGATTTGGACCAGCCGGCTATGTTTCCCTCCACATAGGGCAGCACTCCAGAGGTCACCTGGTTGTAGTACGACACCTAGAACAGCAACCAGAAATGATCAGATTGAGCATGAGAGTGATGTTTTTATTGAGTTTCAGATGTTATAGTGGTACCTTGCAGGTTGAATAGCCTATTTCGTGAACGAGGAATCCTGCACATTTAACTTCGCTCCGAATAGAGTTCTCCTCCGGTGGAACTGTTGCCACGGTGACGGACCGGAGTGCTATGACATACGGGTCTCTGTGATGGTAAAAATACAGTTTTGAGCCTCACATTAAAGGAATAGTTCACTTAAAAATTAAAAAATTGCTCAAAAAGTACTTATCCTCAGGCCATTCAAGATGTAGATGAGTTTGTTTCTTTATTGGAAGAGAATTGGAGAAATTTAGCATTACATCACTTCCTCACCAATGAATCCTCTGCAGTGAATGGGTGCCGTCAGAATGAGAGTCCAAACAACTGATAAAAGCCTCCCAATAATCCACAAGTAATCCACACCACTCCAGTCCATTGTTGTGGTGTGTAGATTACTTGTGGATTTCTGTAATGTTTTTTCAGTTGTTTGGACTCTCATTCTGACGGCACCCATTCACTGCAGAGCATCCATTGGTGAGCAAGTGATGGAATGCGAAAATAAATCTCTTCCAATAACAAACATAAACAACAAACTCATCTACATCTTGGACAGCTCGAGGGTGAGTAAAGTTTTAGCAAATTTTCATTTTTTGGGTGAACTATTCCTTTAATAACATTAAAGATTTGTTTATCCAAAACAGAATCACTCATGTTAGCAGTGGAATCATACCCATCTTTGCAGGGTTGCCTTTTAGACAACAGAACCACGAAGTCCCGACTTTTGCTTCCATTGACAGTGGTGCATTTAATGTGATAAATGGTTTCCTCCTCATCTGCTTTCTCGACCTCTTCACAGCTCCTGGAGGACATACGGAAGGATGTAGACTGTGAAAAACTATTTTATGTAATCGCAAAACTTTTAGCACGATACATTTAAGATAGAGGGATGTAACAAACTCTTATTAGCCTACAAATAGTTTTTGTCCCACTGTGGCCGTAATGGCAGGTCAGCGAGCAGCGAGAAAGCATAAAAAGCCGTAGTTTTGACCTTCATCTCAACTTTTAAACTCAGCTTATCTGCCTCCTCATGCACGTAGACTCCTACCTGCAGAACACAAGTAAATTCAGCATGCTAGCCACATACTAGACATAAACAGATGCATCATCTAGAATAAATAAAGTGTTGACCTTATCATTGATGTTACTGGCCTCCCAGCCTCGCTTTCCAGCTAAGACTGTGAGAGCTGCCACGTTGTTATAGCCCAAATACACCTGCAGAGGGCAGAGATGTTACACATACAGAACGTTTGTCCTGCTCAATAACAATGGGTATGTTTGGAATAAGCAGTATGTAGTATGCAGCATGTATACTGTTAAGGGAGCTTTCTGTTTTTCTAGAACACATTGGTTGGGTCCAAAATCTCATACTCTCTGAATATGTACTTTTGAATAAGTAATTACTTTGCAACCAATCAAAGTTACGTTCTATATGATATGAATGTGTAGTATGAATATAATCTGGGTGTATGTGTGACCTTATTAAGTATTAAGTCATCCAGGTACTTCTCGCCTACTGTTTTATGAACACTGTGCATTTGGACAAACTACGCTTTTCACATACTGTTTTTCGCCTACTACTGTATATAGTAGGGAAGTATGAGATTTCAGATGCAGCCATTATGTGGAAAACAGTATCCTATAATGCAACGCGCTCCATTTCATGTCACTAATTAACTGGAAATTATATCAATAATGATATGTAGACTTTTTCATTTGATCACACTTCTAGAAGTGACATTTTTGCACAAAATATTCTAAATCTACCACTCACTGAATTCAACTGGTAGCACACTAGTGTTTGAAACAACGTTTGAAATACTTATCACTTCAGTATCATTTATAATACCTCAATATAATTACAACAATATATTTTTTAAATAAGCAAAATTATTCAGTGTATTATTTATTTATTAAAAGCTAATTATTTTATTCTATTTGAAATCTGAATTTAGGCATTGACTATTTTTTTTTAATGATTATGTTATTTTATTTTTTGTGGTACCTGATTAGTTCTGTCCCAAGGCACAGAAATTGGTCCCTCATTTCCTGAGTACAGAATGTGTTTTCTGGAAAGATAAATTAGGTATGTTTCTTAAACAATGAAGAATTTAAAGATAAAGTTTTCACTTTTACTGATTTTTTGAGAATGTTTTGTACAGAAAGTACCTGGCCATGCGAATTCTCTTCCTGACAACAGCACCAATAAATCGTCTTTCTCCATCCTTAAAAAAATAAAATGATACAATTCATGTGCCTTTAAAGGGTTAGTTCACCCAAAAATGAAAATTAGGCTGTTTTACTCAACCCCGAGGCATCCTAGGTGTATATGACTTTCTTCTTTCAGACGAATCCAGTCGGAGTTATATTAATAATTGTCCTGGCTATTCCAAGCTCTATCGTTGCAGTCAGCGGGTGTTGTAGTAGAGCTTGGAATAGCCAGGACAATTTTTTATATAACTCCGACTGGATTCGTCTGAAAGAAAAAAGTCACATACACCTAGGATGCCTCTGGGGTGAGTAAAACACAGCCTAATTTTCATTTTTGGGTGAACTAACCCTTTAAGTGTGGCTCAGAGCTGTTATATATAATGACTATTCTTGTGTTGCTGAACATGTAAATAACTCACAAGAGTTGTGTAGGTGACATCAGGAAACGTCTTTTTCTCACCGCCACATCCTGGGATGTAATAAATCATGGAGGCGCTGTTGATGTGTCTTGGTGTTCCCTCATTCCACTCCTCACAGTTATACGCCTCCACCCGAACACCCACCTCCACACTGATGCACAGAATAAGAGAACAATGCATTTATAATATTCCTCAGTTTATTAGATGTTAGTATTAAAGTCAATACGAAATCTAAATGTACCCCATTTACTTCCTTAATAAATCTGCCTGGTGTTATTGTAAGTGATGTCCAGTGATGTGATGTGGCAATTACCAAATATGTCATATTACAAATGCATGTTGTCTTTAACAGTCCTGACAGTTAATGCTTCAAAAGAAGGTTGTTTTGTTTATGATTGCACATCTGCAGCAGTCAGGTTATATAGCTACTGTACCTGGTCTGAAAGGCATTATTGACCATCGCTTTGAACACCAGTCTGTCACCGACACTGGACGGACCACGGAATCGAAACATGTCCACAGCTCCGAGAGAAGGATAGTAGCCACACAAACGACTAGGAGAAAAGAAACACACACAGAAGATGAAATACAGATTTATTATTTCCAGTAAAAGAACTACAGTACCCATAATCCCAAGGAGTGATCTAGCCTGGATCCACCATGTAGAAATGCTGTTAGACCAAAGAAACATAAAACTGCCCACGCATGAATACGCATGTTACTGGATCTGGTACCTGGCTGCTACTGTAGCCACGTTCTCCATCCAGGCCATGATCTGTCCTCCAAATGTGTTTCCATGGTGATTGGCGTGTGGCGGCAGCACCAGCTCAATGCTCTCGACCCGCGTGAGCTCAGTCGACACCACGGGCGCGACGGGCTTCCTGCTACACAGTCCTGAAATGTCAACAAATCCTGTTCATTATTAACTTTATCTGCTAGGGCTGGGTTTTGACACAAATTTCACGATTCGATCCGATTCTCATTCACAAGCTTGCGATTCGATTCGATTACCAATTCAATATCGATTATTTCGGATATATATCAGGTACAGTACATACCAAATGTCCTCAAGGAAAAAAAAATCTCTCAACTAATGCTGTAAAATATACATGAGCGTCAGTAATACATTGCTATAATATTGAAGGTTAAAATGGACTGATTTGTTAAAATTACATTAATGAAGTTTTTTAAATAATAAAGTTACAATTACATAATAATATTTCAACTTCAATTCGTTTTTTTTTTATATATATAAACATAATGGTGGCTGTCATAAAAACTTGATGGATTAATTCAAACATAAATGAAACATTGAAGAACAGTAAAATTTATAATGAATATGTTATATGGTGCATATATTTAGCAAAATGCCCCTCTTCTACAGTTTATTTTTCTCTCTGACTAATGAGTTAATGGTCACCGAATATGTTTTTCTGAGGTAAATGTGATATTTTTACCCAGCCCTATTATCTACAGCAGCTTTTTCGAGTGACGCTGTCATGAATGTGTGCGCATTGACTCATGACTGGAACTTCTGATTCCATTGCCAAGTTGTGGTGGCTCTTGTTAAGTCTGTCCTCTGGCTGACTCTATCATGGGATTCTTTCCACTGGAGACACCGAGTGTGTTTGGGCAGTGATTTTAATAGCAAATGTTGCACCATTTGTTCTTTCAGGATTTATTGCCAATGAACAACCAATGAAGTTTGTTTCCATGACTTGGTGAAGCTCTTAGAAGTACAATCTCCTGGAGTAAACTGAGGTGTGACATAATAGCTTGCAGATCACTCAATACACCACCCATCTCAGAACCTCATACGCAGACACTAGTATATACTAATTTAATGACAGAGCTCAAGTAAAGTGCTAACCCTTGTCTTGAAGGTTGTAATAGTCCTTCATGAGGTTCTTGAAGGCCTCTTCGTTGTAGAGACGGAGTCGTCGTCTCTCTGAAGCTAGTGAATATTCCAGCATTTCCTCTACCGAGCCCTGAACGTCCAAGGGTTTCAGAGACACCTGCAGAAATAGATATCAATGAATATTTAGGAACAATTATATTTCTATATACATAAAGTTAAAGCACGAGAGAGGTTGTATGCACATGTTTGTCACTGTTATCAAATGTCGCTGCTCATTGTAGATGTCACAATAAAATTTTGCTGTTTGAGACATCCTACAAAGGTGCTATTTTAATAGTATCCAGTTACAAAATTGACTAATATTGATCTTTAAAACGAATAAATCAAATGTGACACGTTAAGATTTTTACTTGACATTTTAAAGTAATATTCTGGATTTTAAAGATGGATTTAATGAGTATCTGCAGCTACCATTGCACATGACAGTAATGTTCATAAAAATTATATAACAAGTGCTGATATCCATATTAAATTAAAATATTTATATCATGCTGATTGCAGCATTTACATGAAACGACACATATTGGGCTTATATACCCAATATAAACCCAATTTTTGAATTTGTTTGAAAAGAAGTCTCTTCTGCTCACCAAGGCAGCGTTTATTTGATTAAAAATACTGTAAAACCAATAATGTTGTGAAATATTATTGCAATGTAAAATAACTGTTTTCTATTTGAATATATTTGCAAATGTAATTTACTCCTGTGATCAAAGCTGAATTTTCAGCATCATTACTCCAGTCTTCAGTGTCACATGATCCTTCAGAAATCATTCTAATATGCTGATATGCTGCTCAATAAACATCTCTTATTATTATTAACGTTGAAAACAGTTGTGCTGCTTAATATTTTTGTGGAAACTGATACTTTTTTCCAGGATTTTTTGATGAATATACATTTCAAACGGTTGGCATTTATTTGAAATAGAAAACGTTTGTGATATTATAACATTTCTTTAGTCACTTTTGATCAATTTAATGCACCCTTGCTCTTTCAGACCCAAAACTTTTGATCAGTAGTGTAAAATTTAGATTTGACTGGGAACCCAAATTCTAGGGTACCATCTTGACAGAGACGTTTCCTCACCTTGTGTGTTCCTGTTGGTTTGGCGACAAACGTGGAGAAGGCCACGCAAACCTTCTTCGTCACTCCACTGAGCACCTCCTGTACTGTTACATAGATGCCTACCTGATAAAACAGTGACCGGATCAGACACAGGAATGCATTATAGTTATTTCGTTAATATTTAATACTGTAAATGTGTTTCGTCTTGTATTACCTCCATACTGGTGTTGAAAGCCCTGTTCACTCTGGCTTTGATATTGATAACCTGCCCAACCCTGAAATACAGAGAGATATGATATGATAACAGATCAATTTATCACACAACATGAGGTACTCCAGAGGACTTGATCCAGCATTCGCGAAACATAACCTTAGACTTGTCACTAAAATATGATTGGTTTCTAAGACTCTTGTTTCAGGATCAACACGGATGTTCTACTCGGGTAAGTCAAGTTAAAGGAATAGTTCACCCAAAAATGAAAACCAAACCATGTACTCATCAGACCATACAAAATGTAGATGAGTTTGTTTCCTCATCAGAACAGATTTGGAGAAATTTAGCGTTACATTACTTGCTCATTAATGGATGCTCTGCAGTGAATGGGTGCCGTCAGAATGAGAGTCCAAACAGCTGATAAAAACATCACAATAATCCACAAGTAATCCACAAGACTCCAGTCCATCAGTTAACATGTTACTGCATGCTTGTAAACAAAATCCATCATGAAGATGTTTTAACCATTGCTTCTGGCCAAACTATGAGTTGTTTATGTATTATTATAATGTTTTTATCATCTGTTTGGACTCTCATTCTGACGGCACCCATTCACTGCAGAGGATCCATTAATGAGCAAGTGATGTAATGCTAAATTTCTCCAAATCTGTTCCAATGAAGAAACAAACTCATCTACATCTTGGATGGCAAGATGGTGAGTAAATTTTCCTTTAAGTGATAAAGGACACATTCTAGTACCTTACAGTCTCTTCAAACTGGATATCATCCATGGAAGCCGTTACACACGCCATTCCTGCATGTCTTTCAGCTTGAAGGAAGAAATGAAGGAAAAAGACTTATAAGCATGAACCACTATATGAACCATCAAAGATGGGTATACACTTATTGTTCATATTTGCTTGTCACTGTTATTTATATTTCATGTGTCTAACTGGAGCAGAAACAGGAAGGAGATGGAGCGTCTACTATCAGAGAGGACACATGTAAATCATTGATGTGTGCCTTCCTCAAGCCTCTTTTCTTCAGTGGCGGAGAAATATGGATTCACACCAGATTTGTGGGTAAAAGGTAGATGGATGCTAGTTACCTTCCTCCTTCATAGTCCAAAGGTGACTGCTTATCTGAACCTGCTCTGATGGGCTGATAATACACTAGGTTGTTTTGGAAAAAGGACATTTTTACTGCTTCTGCAGGTCAGTCGAGGTTTCGGCGTTCTTGTTTTTGCAATTTATTAAAGATCACCGTGTCATTGGCAAGACTAAGTAGTCATTAAGAAGACTCTTTCATCCAAATGTATTTACAGGATAGGATATTTAAGCAATTAATAATTTACTGCTCAATAGTTACATATTTTAATCTTTGCTATGTACAGGATGATGATGCATATTACTAAGGGAAATAAATGAACATTTGCTGTTTTAGTTGTTGTTACTACACAAAACCATGAAAGGGGGCGATCTTGTCCCACTACTATAGGATTATTAGACGACCGCCTTACATTAGACCAGTGAAGTAAACTTATATTTTTAATTATTATATTTTGAAAAAGTTGTCTTTATTGACACTATCGATTCCTGAAGTTGAATTTTGTGACTCTCACACTGATTTTACTTTGAAGCATTTTGAATTGTATAAAGCGTTATACAAATAAACTTGACTTAAAATAGTAAATCAAATATTTTATATCTAAATGTTTTGACAATTTATCTATAAATTCAATTATTTTAATATTTTAGATAATTAGTTAATAATTTAGACATGTAAAAAGGTATAATAATTTTATAATGATAATATTTAAACGTAATTTTCACATTTAATTATTTACTTATAATAATCAGGGGGGAAAAAACCTATCAAACTCAACAGAACCCCTGAATTACAGAATCTGAATTGCACTATATACTGTAATTCTATTAATTCTATGCAGTCTTATGTTTTTAATTAAACTGATGTCATAATAGCAACAAACTATGCCTCTAGACAATGATTCCACTCAACTGGCCTACAGGTTGTGATGAACAATGAAATATTATATATGAACTGAATTTATAACTGAAATGATTAAATAAAAAAAAAATTAAAACACCATCAACAAGATGCCACAGGTGATCTTCTGTCCTAGTTCTGAAAGGGGCATCTTACACCAATAATCTCACTTTTTAGCCTACTTCAAAATAAAAAGCATTAGTTAGCATACAAATCTAAATGAATTACTGCATCCAAAAATTCCCCAGCAAATAGGCATATCCAATTATCCATTATTATTCATTGACAACATTAGTTTATTAAACCGAAAACTTTTTCATTTGAAATAAATCTTACAAATGTTAATGTGACAGATGGAAAGGTCATGATGTAACCTTTCAATACATTTGTTAAAGGAATCAAACAAGCAACTATCTGGTCACCAACTCCATCCCACATCTGCATCTACAGCACACAGTCCCACTCACCTGCCAGACAGGCGGTAGTGTCCATCCACTTCAGCAGCTGTCCCGCACCCAGTTCTTCCAGGTGGTTTGCATGGCAGGGCAGGACGGACTGGCACATCTGCACCTCTACCGGGCCGGACTCTTTCTTCCGTGCCTTGTCGCAGGATCCGTCCGTGTCTGACATTCCTCTTGAACAGTTCTGATCCATGGGGGCTCGTTCAGAGTTGTGGAGAGTAGAAATAACGGGAGGTCAGCTCGTCTCTCTCTTTTCAAGGCCGTTGCCAGGTGACCTCAACTCTGGCCAACTTGGACGTTCTGTGGGACCATGTGACGTTCGCCAAACAGCCAAGCTGAATACCTGAACTACTGCAAGCTGCAGGACACACACACACACACACACACACACACACCTGTGCTGCAGTTGCTGTTACGACACATAGATTGTGATGTAATCGCCATGTGTGTTAATTAACTTGTTTTATGTGAGAGAGTCATAAAGCTGCTGAGTGTTGACGGACGTAATGTAAGGTGGCAGAATTGAGGAGCTCTGGTGCACCAAAACAGCAAACAAAAAAAGTCAAATTTACACCGACGACGTTCAGTGTTCTGTCAAAAACTGCAGCGAGTGTTTAAATTCGGATTTATTTTGATTGGCCGTCAATATTTTTATCACCCTGAAAAACTCGCTCTGAATGTTGTGGACTTTCGCTATTTAGAGTTAAGGTCTTGTTTTTACACCAACAACACCAAGTGTTATGAAAAAGGCTCGTTCACACCAAAGACGATAACTATAAAGATTTAATAATCATTCTAATTCTATGAGAATCGGAAAGCCTACAGGAAAGCTGTAAGGACACAGAGGAACAATACCGCGATAATCACGTTCAGAGACATTTCTTTCCAGCTGATGAACAATAAAAACAAAAGAACCCAACCAAGAGCTCGAGCGTTTCATTTATATTAAGACTCCACTATTCTCACAGAATAAAAACAATTACTAAAACCTTATCGTTCTTGGTGAGAATGGGCTATTGAGCAATTTTTAAAACTTTATGGTTGGAGTGAACAGGCCTGAACTGATCTAAAATTGTATGACTAGTAACCAATTAGCAATAATACATAATACACAATTAAATTCTACCGAACTGACTAAATCAAATCAACAAAATAGCAACAATCACACCAACTTGTTTTCCCTTTAAAGGAAGTCAAAACATAAGGTGGTGTCTATACAGTAATATATATATATATATATATAAAGATAGTGGAGTTGTCTTTTCAACCACAAAACAGACGCTTAGTTAATGGTAGTTAAGATAGTTAAGGGATCAGCAAACAAACAAGAGGCTGACTGGTTTCCATTATGATATCAGTGACTTTAGTGTAAATTGTATTTTATAATATTTTTATAGATTTATAGATAATTGACTAATAATCTGGCGAATCTAGCTAAACCTTAATCATTTGCACATAAATATTATAAAATGTTAATCTATATATTATAAAAGCTAAAATATGTACATATTTTATCTTGTGTAAACAGACAAATTTGTCAATGAACACTAGCTTAGCACACAAGCAAAATGATTTGACAAAAACATCACAATAATCCACACCACTCCAGTCCATCAGTTAAAGCATTTTTAACTTCAAACCACAGACATATTTCATTAGACTTCTCTGTGTATTTACAAAAGTCAACACAAGGTAGAAAATAAACACTTCACAAAATCAAACATCAAGTAAGTCAAATGAAAATGTTGTACACTCATGATGGGGTCTCTCTCGTAGTCAGGAAAAAAATCAGGGGCAAATGTTATTACAAATAAACACGAAAACAGCTCAGGTATTGTACAGTATTGTTTTAAATAATTCACAGAGACACAGATGAATCAGATCCCCAAGCTATAAAAAAAATTCACATATATAAGAAATTCCGAAGATGTTAATTGATGGACTGGAGTGGTGTGGATTACTGGTGAATTATTGTGATGTTTTTATCAGCTGTTTGGACTCTCATTCTGACGGCACCCATTCACTGCAGAGGATCCATTGGTGAGCGAGTGATGTAATGCTACATTTCTCCAAATCTGTTCAGATGAAGAAACAAAATCTACATCCTGGATGGCCTGAGGGTGAGCAAGAATTTTAGCAAATTGTCATTTTTGAGTGTATATAAAATATGCATAAATACATAATCTTACACACTTCATTTCTTAAATATAAAATGTTATTGTTATAATTGAAAAATATACAAAAAATACAAATATATAAAATAAGCATTACATAAACTCTTTAATGGATGAGTGGCTCTTGTCAAAGTTAAATCACAAATGCACTAGCAGACAGGAAATGACATACACTCTCATTCTGGAAGGGTCTCTCTCGTAGTCAGGAAAAAAATCAGGGGCAAATGTTATTACAAATAAACACGAAAACAGCTCAGGTATTGTACAGTATTGTTTTAAATAATTCACAGAGACACAGATGAATCAGATCCCCAAGCTATAAAAAAAATTCACATATATATTTTAGAAATTCCGCAATAATAATAATATTAATAATAATAATAATTCCACTTGAAATAAAAAAAAAACAAAGCAAATCACAGTTTCTCCGGGTGACACAACAATGGCTGTATAAATAAGTTGATTATTAGAATGACAGATGTACGGAATTATAATTCCCACCCATGTGCCCTTCCTCTGAAAGGACCAGTTTCCTTTTTCCATCAAATCTTCCTTCCTTCCCATATTCACATGCAAAGATTTTCACAAAGAAAACGTAATATAAGAGCAGTAAACGCTGTATCTGTGTACGTCACATGATTAGGAGTGTTTTCAAAACATGACAGAAATATTCTACGGTAACTGAAGCTAGTGCGACGATCTCAGTTCAGTTTCGGAGGACGTTCCTCTTGCGTCCCCCAGACAGTTGGATTTTTTTTTTAAGTATACATATGGAATGGCTGTTCTTCGTAGGCATCGTCCTGAAAAATAAATCTCCTGTATATACAAGCAAAACCTCCAGGGTGCTGATCAGATGGGGCTGCATTGGAGGAGCACAGATGTGTGAAGGCCAAATACAATTACAAACACATTTCTGTTTGTGACAACTCTACCTGTTTCAATAAAATATAAATCAAACTCTCTCGTCGTAATTGATTTTTAGCATTGCGATTATGTCATTTTACGAACTTGACCCACCCCCCCTGCATCTTAATAAGTGTTTACTGCGATAAATCTGTTTACATAGATCTGTCGATTTACATCATATTTCAAGAAAATATGATTTTTGTTTACGTTAAAAACAGTTCAAGTCCATCGTCTTTCTTTCTAGGATCAATATATGTCCTTTCATACACATGCACATGTAACTTTGAGAAACAAACTCTTCCACATCTTGGATGACCTGAGTTTGAGTAAACCTTTAGCACAAATGCACTAGCACACAGGAAATGACATACACTCTCATTCTGGAAAGGGTTGAGGAAATTTCCGCCAATTTCGCCGTCATCTCGAGGAGTTCCAGGCTGGTTGCTCATGCTTAGGTTACCAGGAGAGTTCTGTACAGATAGATAGTGTGATTTTTCAGTCCAATAAGGTTTGTGGATGACCCAACTTGTGTCAATTTACACATTTAAATAATAATAATTATAATAAAAGCTGAACTTTTGACAAGACAAGAAAAAGCGGCCAAAAATGCCCATCTATCATCATGTAATGAATCTGATTAAAATATTTAATAAATTGACAGTCCTAATTATAATGTGAAACAACAACTCTTACCTTGGACATACTGTCCATGTCAGCTGACCCTAAAGAAATAAAAATACAGATTTCTGATATTAAATTATATTGTAGATGTATAGCTGCAAAGGTAGTACTTTTAAAATGCGTGATTAATCTTCAATGACCACAAGGTGGCATAATCATGCAAGGCAAAAAATGACAACAAATCAGTAAATCAAGCATGAAAGCTGCAATTTCACATTGAATTATGACATGCTTTGATACTCTCCAAGCAAAGTAAGTAGACAGCACTCAAAGATGTCCAAGAGTACGTTCTAAAGTGGTTGTTTGTATTAGAGACGCTCTTACCTAATGATCCATTCATGTGATGAGGCTCCATTCCTGCCATGCTGCCCATTGGACCATCTCCACCCGGACCAATAGGGAACTGTCAAACACACACACGGCTCATATAACGTTATTATAAAAACTAGAGAGCAGAAAGTTTTGTCAGTAAAAACAGAATGAACAAATGCAACTCAATGTGAACTGAGATGCATGTGTAAATATTTTAAGCTCATCATGCTCTCTTACATTTTGCCTGTTTCCTCCGGGCGGCACTGTGTTGATCATGGTGTACATATTTTCTCCAGAGTTTGTCGAGTCTGTAGAGGAAGAGCCAAACATGCAAGTGCATCAACAACGTTTCAGCCAATGCTCAACTGATATGGCTGGAAATTGTATTTGGACACTTTTGGTCACTAAAGATGATACTCTCCAAGCAAAGTAAGTAGACAGCACTCAAAGATGTCCAAGAGTACGTTCTAAAGTGGTTGTTTGTATTAGAGACGCTCTTACCTAATGATCCATTCATGTGATGAGGCTCCATTCCTGCCATGCTGCCCATTGGACCATCTCCACCCGGACCAATAGGGAACTGTCAAACACACACACGGCTCATATAACGTTATTATAAAAACTAGAGAGCAGAAAGTTTTGTCAGTAAAAACAGAATGAACAAATGCAACTCAATGTGAACTGAGATGCATGTGTAAATATTTTAAGCTCATCATGCTCTCTTACATTTTGCCTGTTTCCTCCGGGCGGCACTGTGTTGATCAGAGTGTACATATTTTCTCCCGAGTTTGTCGAGTCTGTAGAGGTAAAGCCAAACACACAAGCTCATCAAAAACATTTTAGCTAATGCTCAACTGATATGGTTGGAAAAAGTATTGGACACTTAAGTAAGTATGTAAGTACATAAATATTTCTAAATCTTAAAAAATAAAAAATTATTAAAAGAAATAAAAATAAAAGAAATAAAATGATATACATATATAAATAAATCAAACCCTCAAAAATATTTTAAATACAAAAACATTTATTGTTATAATAGAAAATGTTATATTTTTGAAAGAAAATAATATGCAAATGGTATAATTTAAAAATATATAATACTTAAATATATATAAATTAACATCGTAAACACTTAAACATTATTTAAATATAAGAAATGTATTGTTATAAATGACTAATTATTTAAAAAATAAAATTATATACATGTATATAAATAAAACACTCAAAAACATTTTTTTTAAATATAAAAACATTTTATTGCTATATTTAAAAAAAATCTAACATTTAATAAAAATGTTATTGTTAAAATTATAATATAAAAAATTGCATCAGTATAATTCAAAAATATATTTAAATTAAAAAAATGTGTATATATATATATATATATATATGTGTGTGTGTGTGTGTGTGTGTGTGTGAATTTTGTTTTTATGATATATAATTTTATTTAATTTTTTCCTCTCAATATATCTGTCCATAATTAAATTTAACTATGCATGAAAAACCATCTTCTGCAGTCCTACCTGCAGGGCTAGGCATGATAGGAGTCCCCGGGGGCCCTCCTCCTCCGGGTGGACCCTAAGAAAGAGAAGACAAATGTGGTTCTGAATCTCACGTAACACACAATAATTCGTTATATTTGCATGCACTTGTGCTACGTACAGGTGTAAATGTGAGGACAGTCCTGTGTGTGTGTGTGTGTGTGTGTGTGTGTGTGTGGTTCATGACAGAGGCCTGAGGCCCTTGCTGTGGTCAGCACTGTGCATATCTGCTTCTTCCTCCCTCTTCCCAAATCTAATTATCTCTCCTCCTCTCTGCTGACTCGGCTCTGCTTTCCCGAGAAGCTCGTCTTGTCTGGCTGCTTTCAGTAAGCTACCACAGCTTCCCTTCCACAAATCATCTCAGCAGGGAGTTACTGACAGCGGTTTAACAGAATATCTTGTGTAAATGTCTTAAAATGATGTGTTTAGTCACACTGGGTATCTCAAATGTGCTTCAGTGTATCTGGCAGTGTCTAGCTGTGTGAAGGACTTTCATTTGATATATCACCAGATTTTTAGACGTCTTTCTACAAGCTATATGCCTCATTTAAGCAAATATACATATTTAATATATTACTATATCGAGTAAAAATATCTAAACATTCTTAAATCAAGATACTTTTGCTATAGAAGCAAAATGACTTAAGATATTAAATCTTGTTTTTTGAGGAATCTATCAAAATTAAGTGAGTTTATGCGTAAATGGGATAAGAAAAATAAACTCAGTTCAAAGGGAAAAAAAATTTCTGACCTCACTGGCAGATAATTATTCTTGTTTTAAGCAAAAATTCACTTACTTTTGATCATTTTTTTTTTTCATAAAACAACACTTAAAATCATATGCCATTTTGCATCTCATATAAACTGATCTACAAAATACTATTTCAGTCTTTCTACTAAAATTGAGTAATGATGCTGAAAATTCAGCTTTGATCACAGGAATAAATTACATTTTAAAATATATTACAATAGAAAACAGCTCTTTTAAATTGCAATAATATTTCACAATTTTACTGTTTTTACTGTATTTTTGGTCAAATAGATGAAGCCTTGGTGAGCAGAAGAGCCTTCTTTCAATAACAAAAAAAAATCTTCATTATACCAAACTTTTGAAAGTACAGTACTGTATTAAATATCTTCTAGTAATGACTAGTAACAACATTAATTGGGTTCCACTAATGAGGACGCAGAACTATCTGTGATCTGATGCATGTCTAACAGCTGGACGTGAACATTCATGGCTGTTGTAAATGGAGAAGCTCACAGCACTTACCACATAACTCCCTGGAGATGCCGAGGAGTATGCGACCTTAAATGCCACGTGGATCCGATCAGACAGAAAAAACAGAGAGAAGGTCAACAAATCAGATGCTCTTCAAGTGCAAACATTTACCTACAGCTGTAGTGGCTGACATTTCACAACGACTGATTGGAGAAATGACTCACCGAGTTGGAATTTGGTGGATTTGGCCACGGTCTTCCTCCGGGACCCCTAGATTAGGACCAGACGTGTTGTACTCATTGACTATTTTAAGGCTATAGTAGGAAATAATCTTTTTTGTCAGGCAAGTACTTGTTAGTGTAGCAAGAAGTACGTACATATTCATCCCAGGCATCCCAGGACCCCCAAGAGCATTGAGTGGTGGTCTCATGCCTCCTCCATATGCCTGGAACGAGAGAAAGAAATGTAGTAAAGTGTCTGTGCACAGAGTTTAGATGAGCGATCCAAACATACGGGTGTGATGGATTGTACCTGTGGCCCAAGAGGTACCATCCCTCTGGGCGGAGTCATTCTCTGCATAGCCCCTCCCATATTTGGATGACCTGTCCAATCAAATGATCAGATAGATATTAGTGGTAAACGCATTAGGTGAAGCTGGCAACTTTTTTCAAAAATGCTGGCGGGGAAAGAGTTAATGGTGATTGAAAAAAAAAAACAATCATTGTGTCCAGACTTGATTTTCATTACTGAATTACCATAATGAGAATGAGATTTTCTCGCATTACGATAATTAGAATTCTGGGGGAAAAGCGCTTAATTGTTATGAAAAGAATGTCATCATGGAAAAAAATGGTCCTAAAATAGTCTTCACTTTTTCTTTTTAAAATATCATTTATTTTTCATTTTGATTCAGGTGTTAAATATAACCCAAACATCTCTTTGTGAAATTCCCCTTATAAGATGGTTTAGTTAATTATTTGCAAGCAAACCTTGTTGTCTCGATGGGTCCATACCACTGGGTAATAGCGGCTGGTTTCCAGGGACTCCACCTAACGCCTGAACCAGTAAGATACAGTACAAATGAACAAATTAATTTACTCTTGTCAACATCTTCCAAGCAGGAGTAGATGAGGCCCATTAGGTGCCCTTGGGCTATGACATTAGATCAGGACCCAAAATATCACATTCATGCGACTGAGACAGTCTGACTGGAAATAAAATGTGTAGCCTTAAGCGACAGGAAGGGGGAAAAAAACACATTATTCAAAGGAAATATTAGTCTTGTCTAAAAGTCTATTAGACAAGACTAAAATAAAACATTTAAAGCTCTAATCACTCCATTATGAGTTTGTATTTCTGTATCGAGTTGTCATTGTGTATTAAAATAAAACTGAAATGGAAAGGCACCTGGTTGGGTATTCTCAGAGGAGGTCTGGGGCCGCCAGGATAACGCGATGACATGAAAGGCTAAAAAAAAAAAGAAGAGATACCACGTGAAATCAGCAACTTTGTACTCTAAAGTCAGCATAAAATCAAAATTGAGTAACATTCCTCTAACAGTGACTAAAGCACCATCTAGATAGCCAGCAGTGACCATACTGACCTGTAGTATTTTTTAAGATCAGTACACACAGTGAACTAGCTTTACTTCAGCTCTGGGGGCATTTACTTAAAGGAACACTCCACTATTTTTGAAAATAGGCTCATTTTCCAACTCCCCTAGAGTTAAACAGTTGAGTTTTACCGTTTTTGAATCCATTCAGCTGATCTCCGGGTCTGGCGGTAGCACTTTTAGCTGTAGCTTAGCATAGATCATTGAATCTGATTAGACCGTTAGCAAGCAGGTGGTCACGTTGGTTATGTTGATGGAAGTTAGCCTATTTCAGGCGCTACATAATATCATTGCGCCTGCTGCACCAATGGTACGGCAGTATAGTTCCTAGCCATATCGGCCTAGAAAATCGCAACTTTTCATTTTCCGTCGGTCTTAGTACACGATGTAACTACAGAAGAGTCAAATTTTAAATAGGAAAAAATATCGAAACTCTTTGGTCATTTTTGAGCGAGATGCTAACGGTCTAATCAGATTCAATGATCTATGCTAAGCTACAGCTAAAAGTGCTACCGCCAGACCCGGAGATCGGCTGAATGGATTCGAAAACGGTAAAACTCAACTGTTTAACTCTAGGGGAGTTGGAAAATGAGCATATTTTCAAAAATAGTGGAGTGTTCCTTTAAAGCTCGAGCAAATCAATAGCACTGAGAAAGACTCGGGAGAACAGAAAACAATTATTTCCAAGCATCCAATTTTAGAGTGGCCTTTTATTGTGGCCAGCCTAAGGCACACCTGTGCAATAATCATGCTGTCTAATCAGCATCTTGATATGCCACACCTGTGAGGTGGATGGATTATCTCGGCAAAGGAGAAGTGCTCACTAACATAGATTTAGACAGATTTGTGAACAATATTTGAGAGAAATAGGCCTTTTGTGTACATAGAAAAAGTCTTAGATCTTTGAGTTCAGCTCATGAAAAATGGGGGCAAAAACAAAAGTGTTGCGTTTATAATTTTGTTCAGTGTATATATACAGTATATATATATATATATGTATGCATGTATGTAGTAATACATCTCTGTAGTCACAAGTCCCTTCTAGAAATAAGTGAAGAGTTAAAAGGTGTCTATTGATCAGTTCACAATTTCAGAGATCAAAGCTCAGACGAGTGGCCAATCTGTTTTGGGCCAACATCTATCAATAATTAAGGGCAATAAGAGGTTCATTCAGAGTCAGTCATTATGATGAGAAAATTAGATGTCTTCACTCGGTTTTCATGAAAATGCAGCTCTTTGTTCATCAAAGGGAACACAGACGTGGAGAGAAGATGCCCTGAACTTGACGCATACGCAATGTATTTTCAGCCACATTTCTGTGTATGTGTGCATCTCTTGTAAAATACAGCCAGAATTACAGAAGCTCTGAAGTCCAAACAAAAGGTTGAGGGTCTTCAAAAGCAGACACTCAACAGATTTAATTCTTCATACTGTGTAAGGGACATTTCAACAAACACAAAAGTAAGAGTAAGTTCAGTTTCAGAGTGTGGATTTTCATGAGTCGTGATCACCTAAGGAAGTAACCATAGCAACAGCAGGCTGCTGGAGTACTTTCCATGAGGATCCATATCAGCCAATACATTGGTAAAACATAAATACTGTCATTATATATGACTTTATAAGATTTAAATTTCACATGTATTCAGGGATCTCACACTTTTTGACCAATACACTTTCTATTAGTCATTTGTGATAATGTTTAAATCAATTTGATTCAGATCGATTCACTTATGAATCATTCAGGCTGTTCTGAACAATTCGACTGAACGGGTTCAAAAGTTTTAGTCTACAAAAGATCAATATCTAGATGAATTATATATTCTAGGTCAGAACAAAAATACTATAATCACCACAGAAATTCAAATCTTTTCTAAGATGTTTTAATGTTTGACACACTGTAGGGATATGTCAAAATTACTTACTAAATAAATAAATATTAAAATCCAATTATATATATATATACAGTATATATATATATAAATTTAGGTTTTAATATATTGCAGTTTTTAGCTTAATTTTAGTAGTTTATATATATATATATATATAAACCTTATAACTATATATATATATACACACACACACAAATTTAAATGTTTATTAATGGTTTTTTTTTCTTTATTTGTAATAATAAATTTTTTTTAAACAACCCTCTAAAGTCATTGTAAAATTTGCACACTTGTAAATTTCAAAAGTTGTATTCCTCACAAGAATTACTGGAGTTCTAAGTTACGTTTTATGGAAGCCTCAACATGGTCTCAGACACATACAGTGTGATTATAGCTCCATAATATTCAAGTTGACTCTATAGTATTATGGAAGAATTTGATAACACATGCTTGAGATCTCTGACTTTAGACTGCTGAAATCTGGATCATGATGTACCTAGACTAGAAAGAGTAAGTGTATGTGAGAAGCGGTACATCCTCTCAGGGACCGGGCTCAGTTGCTCAGCGCTGTCTGACATGCTCACTGTGGCCCTGCACACTTCAGTCACTGATTAATTATGGACCGAGGTGAGAGGCCTGCATTTGTCCTCTTTAATAATAGATGAGTGAGGTCTGTGGACTTCACCGAGGTGAACAGAAAGGTCTCCTTACAGGTAGAAGCAGACAGTACATTCTCAATTCATGTTTACTACCCTCAGGTTACAAGCCATGCTGATCAAGAACCAAATCCCTCAAAGTACTGTATGTATATATATATATATATATACTGCTGCTGACCACAAACACAGACTGTGTGTGATGTTTTATGAATACCTGCCCAGGTCTAATATCTAAAAGCCAGAATAAAACTGAACAGGCCCTTCATCTAATCTAATATCTGTCCACTTCATAATTCATGGCTTAAGCTTTCTAAAAATAACACACCGGCACAATCATTCATTTCTCTAACAGGTTTTGGCAAAAAAAGGCACAAAGAAGGTGATCCGGCTTAAGGCTGGAATTTTGAGCGTGTCTGTACGTGCCTGTACACTAGTCTATTTTTACAACTTATTAATGAAAAAAAGTGAACATCAGAGAACCATATCAAGGATGCATTGACATGCTATAGAAATTTAGGCAGAAATTTAATTTTTATTGTGGCCAATAACTGATAATTGATATTATAAATCTAAATATACTTATAAATATAAGTTTGTTTGTTGTTTCAAAGCTTTATTTCAGTCTAGAATTGCACATGGTTCAAGACATCAAAACTTAATGTATATAATATAATATATCATTCATATATATATATATATATAATATTCTAATATATATTATTATATTATATTATAGGCATTTTCAGAGTTATATTGATAATTTGAAAAATGATAATGCATGATATATCAGCACCATATCATTTATCGGCCAATATTATAAAAACATTTATGCATCTTTCATACTGTACATTATAATATCATGATCCATAAATTCCCTTTTAGCATACAAAACATTTATTTTATTTTTTATTGTGTATTAGTTTTTTTTTTTTTTTTTTTACATAGTAGTATATATACATAATACTGGCCAATTCTTTTTTTATTGGCAATAAAAAAAATAAATAAAATAAAATAAAATAAAACAAGAAAATAAAATATATCAACATATCAATGCACCGTTAAAAATTACAATATTTGCAATACAGAAAAAAAAACATTAAACTGAGTTTATAAATAACAAAGAAAAAAAATAGAAAAGAATAAAAACATGAATTATGATGATGGATGAATGAATGAATGAATGAACATGACATCAAAAACTGTCAGCTTGTCATTTGAGCAGGATACCCAAACCGAAACTCTAATGTGTTGCCTCGATGGGTAGATAAGGAATAAACACGTCTCAGGCTGATGTTAAAGGGTACAGTGGGTGTACATGTGTGAGAGTTCAGCCCCAGTGACAAACTTTTAGACCCAGCATATCCACTGAATACAAGTTTCTGTCTACAAGTTTGGCACATCATTGCTTAGCTCCTGCAGAAACCCACGGATAAAGACTGAGAACTCCAGAGCGAGTTGAAGCATCCCTAGGGTAAATCATCTCCATTAGTCTGGTGGAAGAGCAGTATCTCGCACTCGGAGCAGAGTAATACCCAGCATGCTTCACTCTGACTCTAATCAGCAGGACGTGGATCTCTAAGGCCTTCAGCCCTGCTGCAGTACCATCTTTCCCTGTTATCAAGTTACATCAAATTATGTGCATGAAATATTAAGTGCTGGACACTCTCTTGTGCCGCTCCGTAGAAGGCAAAGAGATAAATCACTGATATCCAAAGAGTGCAAAGTGATGCAAAAATGTATTTAGACACTTAACAGGATAGTTCACCCAAAAATGAAAATTCTGTCTTTAATTCCTAATCCTCATGTCGTTCCAAACCTGTATGAATTTCTTTCCTCTTCTGCAAAAAAGAAGATATTTTGAAGAACGTGGGTAACCGAACAGTTGACGGTAGCCACTGACTTCTATAGTATTTCTTCCATACTATAGAGGTCAATGGCTACCGTCAACTGTTTGGTTACTCACGTTCTTCAAAACATCTTCTTTTGGGTTCAGCAGAAGAAAGAAACTCATACTGGTTTGGAACAACAAACATTTGACGGTAGCCATTGACTTCCATAGTATTTTTTTTCATACTACGGAAGTCTATGATCATAGTCAGCTATTTAGTTATCCACGTTTATTAAAATATCTTCTTTTACATTCAGCAGATGAAAGAAACTCATACAGGTTCGGAACAACATGAGAGTGAGTAAACCAAAAAGTTGATGGTAGCCACTGACGTCCATAGTATTTTCCCCATACTATGGAAGTCAATGGCTACCATCAAATTTTTGGCTACCAACATTCTACAAAATATCTTCTTTTGGGTT